TGTCGTAGAGAATGGCAGTGGTAGCAAACGAAAATAAAATTATATGGGCTTGTAGGGAATTGTGGGGAGAATCTATATTTGAAAAACCAAGACTGAGAGGCTCGAAATGACAGAGACATTCAATGAATACTGAGAGTGCCATTATTTCTGAGACACCCGTTAATTTTGGACCAAATGTTAATTTTCTCCCAGTTGGACCAAATGACTAGAATTACATGCGAGGAGTGACCTGGTCTCCACCCGAACGGCTAAACTCTTTCCCGATATTTTCGTACTGATTCTTCTTCGTTACCTAGTCCCTATTTACTCATCTGATCTGATTCCATACAAAAGGGCATGCCTCCCTACTTCCACGATCGACTTCTCCGAGTCCATATTTCAAATTTTCCGTCCATTCGGTCTCCAGCGATCCGACCGGACCGGTTCGCCGACGGACGACTATTTTTGCCGTAACGGAAATTCCGCTTCTTCCGTCGACGGAGTCCGTCTCCGGCCGGCGGATTCCGTTTTGTGTCGACGGTCCTTCTCTAGGACTCGTTTAGCATCCTCTCCCGACGAGCGACCGAACCCCCGTCGCCGACGTTCTTCACGGGAGAAGATCGACGCGTCGGGATCTTCGACGGACGACGAATGCGTTTCTCGCAGGAAGACGAAGCCCGCGAATCTGCGGGACCGATCGCTTCGGTCGGAACCGCAAAACGGGACGACCTCGACGATCTCGATCCGTCTCCTCGACCTGCGAGCGATGACCCCGACCTCGACGATCTCGACCCGTTTCCTCGATCTGCGAGCGATGACCCATCCCGACCTCGTCGTCTTCTCCATCCGTAGTGGGGCAGTTCCAGAGTCATTGGGACGAAAGTGGCAAAAAATCCATTTACAAAACATTCATCCGACTTACGTTTCGTGCACCGTATCGGTACTAAACTCGGACCGAATAAGCTCCATTAAACATAGATCGCCTGAAGTGGGGAGGCTTTTATTTACTCCAGCACCATTCCATTTGAATGAATTTCACACTTGCTTGGTGAATCTCTCTTTTTTTTTTCTTATATGTTACGTCAGTAACACCGGAAAACCGTCCTAGTCGATTGATTTTTGAGCAACAGAAAATGTCATTTGGCACGAAGAAAGGTCATGGTCGATGCCGTCTTTTCTGAGAATATGGAATCTCGAGGCCGAGCCAAATCAAACAAAATCGGAAGGGAAGCAGCAGAACGAAAACCGTTGTCTAAACCGTGTTTACGTGATTGACACGACATGAATGGCATCACTTTTTTTCATCCATGGGAGAAATGAGAAAATTTCGACCGAAATAAGTACAGGTATCTACGTTCTACGAGGTACTCTTCGAGTAGAATTTCTGGACCAAAAAGATAAAACATGATACACGATTTCGTTTTGAGTCTACTGTTACGTGAGGAACTTTGGAACTGCCCAGTAGTTTCCGTCCGGACTCACGGCTCGATTTCGAGCCGGAAACCGATCGGTGGTTTTGCAGGAACCGAGCCCGATCCCCCCAAAACCATCCAGGCGGAAGAAACGAAACGAAGCTCACCTTCGAAACCGACGACTCGTGTCGATTCGCCGCGACCCCGAACTTCGATTCGAGTCGAATGGGATCCGTGATCCCTTAGGGTCCTCTACTCGACGTCGCGTCGAAATCCGCATGGAGATCGGCGCGTTCCGTGCCGTCGGAGTCGGGCGGCCCCGAAGCGCGTTTCGCGTCTCCGTCGCCGTCGCGGGTTCTCCGATTCCGAAACGCGTTTTCGCGCGTTCGTCGTTCCGCGCTCCGGTCGACGGCGAGTCGCGAGATCCGGAACCTGCAGGATGCGGACCCCTCGATCGCGCGACGATTCTCGATCCCGAACGGAGTCTGGAATCCCTCGTCTCCCTTGCTCCTGCACGCATGCGATCGTCTCCGTCGGCACTCCGACGCTTCTCCGCCTTTCTTCCTGCGGCGTCCAAGATGCGGCGATCGCATCGAGAATGACCTCGGTGAGGCGATCCTCGGAGAGAGCGACGACACGGAGCGAGTGCGATCGGTCTCCTTTTTTTCCGGTATTCACCGATGCAACACGCCATCGAGGAAGCATGAACGAAACCGTACCTCTCGTACGGTTTCCCTCTCTCGTACCGATCCCGCTCGGCTCACCCGGTCGAATTTCACCGGTTTCAATTTCAACGCGTTGAAATTTTTTCCGTACGGGTTGCCGAAGCCGAAGCCACTCTTTTTCGGTCGGAGCTCTTCTCGTCGATTCGTCGCGCAACTACAAAATGCAAACGATGGTCTTCGGCTCGTCCACGCTGCGCCTCGGAGCTCGACTACTTCTCCGTCGTTCGTGAGAATCCCGTGTGGCTCGGATGGTCTCGGCAAACGTAAGGGGCCATGCACACCGATCGCGAAGAGCCGTGTTGCGATCACTGCGACCGTTGCAGCTCGTCGCAATCGGTCCCATCGGAAACGAGTGAGACCTTCGCAGTCGGTCGCAGTACGCTTCGCAATGGAATCGGACGATTCTATCCTGTCGCGTGGTTCGCGCTGCGTAGCTATCGACTGCAAGTTATGAAATTCTTGGATACATTATTTGACGGCTCTTTTGGTGGAATGACATCGGCGGTAGATGATGCCGATCGTCACCGTTGATTCTCCACGAACGAGATGCATAGCTAGAGTAAATAAATCTTCAAGAAAGGTATCAATTAATCTCATCACTCTCGGTATCAATTACATTCGCGATGATTTCCCATTGTTTCATTTCATGAATTCTAATTAAAATTTTTTTTTAAAGGTGAGAAGCTCTTGTTCTTCAAGTGCAAAAAACGACCTGAGTCGTCCCCTCCTTCAGGAGAGTGCTGCAGGGTTTATACGTATTTGAGGTCTTCTGAATATATGTTTGGAGTAGGCATTTACTCAACTCAACGACACTGCCACCATTTGCGCGGGGAAATGTATGGTCTCAAGTTTGTGTCCTGCACTCTCTTCCAGCAGATCAAGGGTCTCGAACAGCTCAAGAGACATTCTCACAGACGTAGGAGAAAAACACTCTTTGTCTTCGGTGATAATATTTTCTACTAGGGTCTCGAATTCTCCCATCTGATGACGGTATCTGTATGCAGGACGTACCTACCTACCGCACGTACAAAAAGCGAAAGTGTTACAGCACGAGCTCTGAAATTGTACTCAGCCATATTTGATTTGGCTTGGGAGCTCTGGAACCAGTGTGGATGATGCTTCGCAGACGGTCGCAGTGCGGCTTCGTCGCAGCACTTCGCAGTCGGTTTGCATCGGCCTTAAGGCTTCCACGAGCCTTCCATCGGTTTCGCATGCCCGTTCCAGTCGACGAACGGGTGGCAGGATGTCGTCACGACACCCGTCGATGACGCTCCGTCCAAGATCCGTAATGGAGTGAAGGCGGAGCAGAGGCGGTATAACGAGACCGGACGTGCCGATGGGAAACACCACTGCAGCCGCACGCCGACGAGGCGCGTGGGGCCGTGAGGCTTCCCAACAGACGCACGGCCGTCCGCATCGTCGCTTCACACGCCACTGCGAGTTTAAACGATCGCCGTCGTCGAGGAGGCTTCGTTCGACCTCGCATCGAAAGAAACGAAAGAATCACCTCGTCGGAAGAGAATCCGAGTCCCATCGTTGCGATAAGCAATCGACGATCTCGAGGCTGCTTTCTCGCAGCGCCGGGTTGCCGAAGGAAAGACGAGATACGGGTGGAAATGCGGATGGCGTCGCACTGACGTTTGCGGTCCCTTTTTTTGCCATAAATATTCAATAGTAGACCCTTGGCAAAGGGGGAAAATCCGGGAGAAAAGCTTCACTCGCCGCAGCTCATCGAAAGCGACACTTACCTTCTTTCTCCCTCTCGGCGCCCTCGCTACACTTATCGACACTTATCGGTTGAAATCAAAATCCCTCCGGATTCATTCACCGCTCCGAAAGTACGTCGAGGATGCTCGGCTCGAAACGATGAGCATCGGGACGAGATGGATGCCATCCGAAGCACCATCCCGAACGTTTATTTCCGACTTCCGACGTACCCGAAATTCCTCGAAAACGATCCACTTCCGTTCGGTCGGTCGCTCGCTGGTCGTCGGTCCGAGCGGAGGCGGGACGAAGGTGGATCCGTCCCAGCGCATCCGCATTCCCGTCGGACGACCTCGGCGTTTCCCAACGGGTGAACGTGCAAGTGGACACGGCCTTCAAGGGGGACATGCCGCCTTCGACTCGGTCGCTTTCATGTCTCGTATATTTTCCACGCATATTTGTCCCCGAGAAAGAGGATAGCAACCGGTACCGTTGCGCAAATTTCAAGGTGACTTCGAGGCGAGATTCCACACGGGCAGATGTTCTGATTCCCAGGAAATCCTAAATCTCTCTTTTTCAGAAGGATCCGAAACGAGCACGTGTCGAATCCCCCCCCCCCCCCCCCCCCCAGGGGGGAGGGGGGGGGGATGAAACCTATCCCCTTGAAACTATCAGTGCAGATGAAAATCCTGGAGCCGCCACTCTTCGCAGCCCGTTCACACCGTGCACACCGATCCCCGTCAATTCGGGGAAACATCCGCACGAGGAACTCACTCGTACGGAAAATCGATCGGGGAAGGATCTCAACGAGAAACGTCCTCTACGAGAAGTGACTTGCAAAAAATCCTGGAATTCCCTTCGCACGACACGAGCGTGAATCGGTGACGCGCGAGAAGCGTTCGGGAGGTGCGGACGATCGTTCCATCCGTTCCTTAACGCGAAGAAACCATCCGCGTCGAATTCCACGAAATACGCAAAACGTTCGTGCGTCGTCTTCTGAGAAGGTCGTCGTGTCTTTCGTCTCCACGGTTCGGGTGATGTCGCCTCGATGCGAAACGCGAGCACTCCGACTTTTTGCGATACGTCCTCGAGCGTGGACGTTGCCCGCGAAAGGGTTAAGCTCGCTCGAAAAACCGTACGACGCGACGACCCGTGAACGACTCGGCAGCTCGGAACCACGATGGTAGGGGTTCGACGAGAGCGGACGTCTCGCGCTTCCGAGAACCGTTTTCCACGATCTTTGCCCCGTTTTGGAGGGGTCGCGAGAGCTCGTTCCGCGCCCCCGATCCTACCGAACGTCCTTGCCGTCCGGGCGGGGAAGGATGGATCCTCTCGGGACGGTTCGTCGAGCGGCCGAACCGACCGACGCGAGGCCCCGTACATCGTCTTCGAATCCTCCTCGATATCGTCACTCTAACGAGAGATACCTTCCAGGAAGTACTAGAAGTACTTTCTTCTCCCCGCTTCGCACCAGCAGCCGGGAGTAGCGAGAGAGCGAGAGGGGATGCCGCCTCGCATCTCCCGTCTACTTCGTGGGCCAAACGATTCCGCGCTGTCAAACTGCAACATTCCCTGCAGAAGCAGGCGTGTCGAATTCCGTCGGTTTGGGAGCCTTCGGTTGGTTCGGTCGGCCTTGGGGACGGTTGGGGGCCGCACTGACAAATCTCACCGAGTTTTTCATGTTAACGAGCTGGTATTTGCATAGATTTTCCGAAAGAACGGTCAAAGAGGACCTCGCAGGAAGGACGAATCGGACCAGTTCGACGTCCCTTCATTCAAGGTTTTCCCTCCTTCGACCCCCCTCCTAAGTAGGCCTATTAGCACGGGAAAGGAGCATCGGGTGACGAAAGTTTGCGCATGCAGCCCGTCCTCCCTGCGTCATCTATGCCCTGCCATCTCCGCAAACCGTAGCGATGGGGAAGGGTCAGTTAGAACCCGAAGGAGAACATCGCTGGGTGCGGTCCGATTCCATCGGAGAATATCTCCAATTCGAGCATCATCCAAGGATATCCCCATCTCGTGATCGGCAAAATAAGACATGCTGCAAATATCACACGTATTTATACGAACTTTGAATGCAAGAAAATCCATCGGTAACTTGAATTCGTGACGTCCGCATTCGTAGACGCTTCATTCCAGGATTTCTGCAAATCTTAAGAATTGCAGAAATCCTAGAATTAACCATGAAGGACTTCCTTCGAAAATAAATTTATTTCTGCGATCGTGTTGCTGAAGGCCCTGTTACACTTGGCGAGTGCTCGCCAGCGAGTGGGCGAGTTATATTAAGCGAGTACTCGCTAGCGAGGGCTTGCCATTTACTCGCTTCAAACTGCCAGCCATCTATTTCACGAATGGGGAGTTTGCTTTTTTGAGCACCTCTGTACAGATGTCGATAAATATGAAATATGCAAAGATGATGGCTGCCCACCGAAAGTAGACGTTTTCATCAGTCACGGTGGATCTAGTCGACATCGTGATGGCACGCCGACTATCAAAACGACACTTAGCGGGCCAAGGAAAGCCGATACAGATATCTTCGATTCCGTTCGAATGATTTTTTTTTTACGAAGATCCAGGAACCACCATTCGCTTCGTATTTAATGTCTCTCAACCTCTTCAGTCATGAAGTGGTCATAACCGATCTCCCACGAGTGGAATGAATACTCTCACACCTGGCAAGGTAACGAAGGGATGGAATGAGGAATTCCTCCGGTGGGATCGGGTCTCTCGGTACCGTTTTCATTCTTTGTTACCCTCGAAGCTACCTTCTCTGAGAGTCTCTGGAAGGTTGCTTCGTTCGATCGAAGAAAGTCAGTGACGGGATCGGGGATAGACCGGATACTCTTTTAGGCGCGGCAACGGGGGCAACAGCGTGACAAAATCTCATGCCATCGTCTCGGCTATTTATTTATTTATCGAATGCCTACGCGAACGAAGTATCGTCACGAATCGAAGTTGGGTGGTCGGTGGATGTGTCCAGGGCATGCTCGTTTAGCCACGTGATGGCATCGGCACCAGCAGCGTGCAGTGCATAGGCCACCATGGAGACAAGTCATCGGGGCAGTCCTCGACTACGTGCGATGTCGTTTGCGGCTCACCGCATTCGCACAGTGGGCCATCGAGCAGTCTCCATCGGTGGTCATCAGCCGCAAAACGCCCGTGACCCGTCCGGAAGCGATTTAGAAAGGTCCACGATTTCCGTGGAAGGTGAAAGCCTGGTGGTTCGACCGAAGAGTCAACTATTTGGTGATTCTTCACCGTCGACTTGGACCACTCCCCTGCCAGCGCTGCTCCACCGGCACAGTTTGGCCTGTTGGTAATATGGCCCAGAGTTGGTGTCGGGATGGGAGACGACGAGTCGGGGGATCAAAGAGGTCGGAGTGGAGAGGCGAGGCAGGATTTGCGTTCGCGAGAGCCATCATCTTTGCGGAGCGGCAACCTCACGGCGTAGTGGCGGCGGGGTTATGCGACATAACACGGAGAGCCATGGCACGGGTGTGGACCTTAACACTCCAGAGATGGTACGCGTTGCTGTGTTCAGCTGCACATCCATGAGTCTAATGTGCGAAGACTGTGCACAGACCGGAGCGCAGTATTCCGCAGCCGAGTAACACGTTACCGTGGCCGTAGTTCGCAGAGTATGCGCTTCTGCTCCCCGTGTCGAGCCAGCCGAGAAGGTCGTTCCGAGTTTTCACTTTAGAGGCTGTCTTTTCCAGGCGCCGTCGGAACGTCAACGTACGATCGAGGGTCACCCCGAGGTACACTGGGCTTGGATCGTGTCGCAGTCGTCCGTTTAAGCTTGCAACGAGTTCGCGTCTGGCGGAGGCATGGTGGAGGTGGAACACGCTGGACGCCGTCTCGGTCGTACTTGGTTGCAGTCGCCATCGTCGGCAGTAGTTTGCACCAGAAGCCAGGTCTTCGTTCGAGGTAACTTCTCGGTCGGAGAATTCGTGCGATTGGAATCCAAGACAGACAGTCGTCCACAAAGATGAACTTGCGCGATTTCGTCAGGGGCAAATCATCGGTAGAGATGTCGAAGAGAGTGGGGACATGTACAGAGCCGTGGGGTAAACGGTTGCGTTGCAGCCTCCAGGAACTGACGCGGTCCCCCATGCAAACTCTAAATCGACGGTTGCGAAGCAGTAGCTCCATCGTCTCTACTCATCTGCTCTCATACAACCGCGGATTTTACAGTGTTTTTCACTCGAGTTAGACGTTTTTTCACTTGACTTCGACAACGGTGCATGGTGATACTGTTTTCCTTGATATTTCAATAAAACAGATGAAGTTTTGGGCATCGTTCCTGGGTTCTGAAGTATCATTCCCCACGCCGAACTCAAGTAGGCTGGATTAGGCCTATCTAACGTGGATCTGGGAGTGCCCATCGAAGTCCGATCCAGTGTTTCTACATCGTTGAGCCGATGGGAAATTGAAAACTTAGAACCTTTTTATCTAAATAGACTGCAAGGAAGGTCTCCCGTTGACAACATGGCAGCATGCGGTTCATAAATGGGAAATTGAAAACTTAGAACCTTTTTATCTAAATAGACTGCAATGAAGGTCTCCCGTTGACAACATGGCTATGCATGCGGTTCATCGTTTCCAGTACATAGTTTGATTCATGTGAAAAAGCCTAAATATTCTAAGGAAAGAAAGATGTCGCTAGTCGCCAGGGGCACCAGCGCCCTCGCCTCCTCTCTGAATACCCCTCGCAAAGGTGTCTTAGTCGAGTGAAAAATTGTCTAACTGAACTGAAAAACACTGCAAAATGCCGAATTCACCGGACGAAGGTAGAAGAACCGTGGCTTCCCACCCAGTCGCGTCGAAAGAGGAAGGATTCCAAATGCGAATTCCCAGAGAGACGGCATCTCGCTCAGGCGTTCTGCGTCGATCGAGGGCCGTGCCCGTCGTCGTACGAGAGACACGAACGGATCGCCTCGGATACGTGAACGAGGAGTAAAAAGTCGGAGCACGTCTTTCCACGGGATGTCGAACGGGAGATACAACGCAAGAACTCGGTTTCGCGCGTGCAACAGACACGTTAATTAATTTTTTTTTGCGCCGTTCGGCATTTCCCCACTCTCCCATTCCTTCGCGTCTCTCTCTTTCGCGTCCGGGCTCTTCTCGAAGACGGGTGACTGAGCCTCTCCTAAGAGACTTCGATCCCGGTTTTCGGAGATCGTCCCGACGTCCGGTCGGTGGGAGTCCGCAGGTGGTTTCCTCGGCGAGTAGGAGCGTCCGGAGGAGAGACGTGGAATCGTCCTCACGCGGCGGCGTGCCGTAATCGTAGCGACGGTGAAAGACGACGACTGGACTCTTCCCGTTCCGGCACGCGAACTCTGCCTCCCCGGAGGAAGTAGGGGGAAGTGGCCAGCATCGCACAAAAATACTGCTAAGAGGCGAATCTCGAAAGTGACTCGAGCCAATCGATGGTTACACAAAATAGAGCTAAAAATCATTTTTCCAAAGCTTTCCCCTTTCTTCAACCGATCCCCCATTCCTCTCAAGGTCGGCCGGGGGAGAGGGGGCAATCTGCCCAGGGTTCCGCGTATCAAGGGGCCCCAAGGGGGCCTCCAAAGGGCCTCATGGGGGCCCCCAAGAGGTCTCCAGTTTAGTTTTGCCCTAGGCTCCTGGAAACCTCTGGGCGGCCCTGTATCCCCTTCGCTATGGGTTTCGGTAACGTTAGGTTAAAGCCTGATCACCCCACGGACCGTCTTCGGATCAGGCTTAGGCCTGCCTTTTTATGTTCAAAACGAATCTGAACCCTCGATTCACAGGGACCAATTAAGTTCATTAGGGTCAATCTCGGGAGCTTCGAGACGTCTGGATGAGGACGTGTCACGTTTGGTCGACCACGACCCTCTTCTCACTTTCACGAACCATTTCGGAGGACGCGTAACGTTGATGTTTCATGGGTCCGTTTCGAGTTTCCTGAACCGTTTGAGTGCGGACCTTGCCATCGGAGGACCGACATCGTCTCCTCCGGCGGGATCGTGTTTCCGCGTCGGCCCGACTTCGCGGAAAAGAACGGCACACGGCACGAGAGCCTCCAGTTCCTCGAGGTCCATCGTTCGTCGCTTCGTTCCTTTCTCGCGGTTTTGTCGATTTCCCCGGTCGGGGTGCCCGACTGGGATCCGAGAAGGTCCACCGACCCGACGTCCTCGAGGTCTGGCGGTCCGGAAGCCAAATTCTCGGACGAGAGCCGACGATCGCCATCCGACGAAGACGCGTCCAGGGAATCGTAACGGGGAGAATAGCAGCGAAATTCGTCGACTGGGAAGAGGGGCGGGGGGGGGAAAGTTGGAACTCCTCGAACCCTCCCGAACGCTTTCCTGTCGTCGGGTTATTACTGCCACGTAGACGCTGGCAGATCTGCCGGCGTCTTTCCGGCCTCTCGAGAGGCAGGAAAAGCAGGTAAAAGAAATTCTAAACGAGAACCAAGGAGGGTTTTCGGTCCGAAGGATGGAAACCGACGGTCCATAGACTCGGAGATCGAACATCGGCCCACTTTCTTCTTTTTCCTCGCCGGGAAGTCGCTCTCTCGCTTCTTTTCTCCTTCAGTTTCGCACCCTAGGATTCTCCTCGGAATTCTCGAGTATCACCGGCCTCGGTCCGGGCTCCTACTCCCGATGTCGACTTCGTCGAGAGCTGGAAAGAAACGGAACGACGGGCGCTCGATATCTCTCCGGGTCTCCTCGACCACTTCACCGTTACGTCATTCCCGGACAGCTGGGACCGTTCTCGTCGCGCTGGGGCCAGCGATGGACCTACAATTAGAACCCGGAAAGAGAAGCGCCACCCGTCGAAGGCGTCCCGAGTCGGATCGCCAGAAGACCGACGAGACGAGGTCCGGGTCGAACTTTTGGTCGAGGACCTAGCCATGCCCCTCGTCTCGGCCCACCCAAGGGACTATCGACCGACTCGGCACCGACCCACCGACCGGTCGCGCTTCCATCTCTTCCTCGACCCTTTCGCACGATCGGTCCTGACGATGGCGATTCGCCTCCGAGCGAATCGTCTCGATCGCGCGATCGCCTCCAGGAAAAACAAGGACGGCGTTCGCCCGTTCGATCGCTGTCGCCGAATCGCGATGCGGGTCTCTCTCGCGGCACCGCATGGGAACGGACAGATGCGGACTGCGTGGAGATCCGGGAGGATGTCGCCGTTCTCACGGTGAGGAACCCGGATGCCTCCGTTTAAAAAGCACTCGAACGCCTCCGTGGCAACTTCAGTCAGTCTCAGTGTTGGTAGCTCGAGCCTTCCCTTCCGAGGATCAACATGAATCGTGTTTTCTTCTCCGTCGTTTTTGCCCTTGCCCTCCTCGGGCAGGGCTTCGCCTCGCCGTTCCGCTTCTCCCCCCAGATGAGTACGAGCAAAAGTTATCATTTTTATTCCATTTTCATCCTTCGCGTTTCGTTCACCGTTCCATCCATGTTTTTTTCCTTCGATTTTTTTCATTTTCGAACGTCATACGATAAATCGCGCATGCCATCGCGAAACGTCGTACTTGCGCCGTTCCGTCGAGGTCTCTGGTAGGTCCGTTTCGTCCTTTCATGTTCTTTATCGTGGATTCCAGAGCGAGATCGGCTGATGGCCTTCCGGATGCTACCCCGAATCATGCAGAACGTGGAACGCGACCTGAGCCAGGATCTCCTGGATCTGCTCATGCAATTGCAGGAAATGATGCAGAACGGGGACCCAGAGAACGGAATCCCCGTCCTCGACCCCTTCCTTTGGGAACATTTCGAGACCACTTTCGACACCGAGCAGGTCGAGCTCGCCTTCTCCATCGAGTGCGTCGAGCGATCTTCCTTACATTCTTTTCATTCCCTCAAGCAGTTTGCACTCTTTTCGCGGATGCACTCGGTTGAACCGGAAACGATCGGCTTCCGCCGTAAAGAACGGCTCGTTCGCACCGTACACCGTTCTGCTGTCGTTTATGAATGATTCTATTTTTTTTTTCCCTCGTTCGTTCTTTCGCGAGGGCAAGGACTCGTTAGAATGCATTTTCCTTCTCTTTGACTCCTCGGGACGATTGCAGCGGGCTGGACATGCGAGGCCTGTCCAACTTCGAGGTGACGAACGTGGAATTCGACATCCTTTCCCTTCGAGTGGACGTCGCTGCCAACTGGCCGCAGCTGGACATCAAGGCCGACCATTATTTCCTGGACGGAACCTTGCTCGGTCTCCTGCCTCTCTTCGGCGAGGGATACATCGACATGTCCATTCTCGAATTCGCCATCGATGGGGGTGCCTCCTTGGTTGCTCTCCCAGGTGAGAAAAACACGTATCGAAATCGTACGTGCCAGGAAACAAAACTCGATCCGATGAGCGTAAAGGCAGTGATGAATGAGCGGGAAAAATGAACGAAATAGGGAGACGGAGACGATGCGTGCACGAAATGAAGCTGCATTCGACGAAGGAAAAGGATTTAACTAGTGAGAATTTGTCGAATCGGAGACGATGTACGAGATACTTCGTGCGTTCTCGTAGATTCGATATCGGTCGGGGAGCTGTCCTTCTCGATGACATTCGGTGAGCTGCAGGGCGTGATCGACGGCCTCCTGGGCGGAGGCGAACTCAGCGACGTCCTCAACGAAATCCTCAATATGATGGGTGCGGAACTCTTCAACTCCGTCCTCCAGATGGCCGCAGACGACATCGCCGTCCTCGTCCAGGGTTTTCTCAATCAGATGTTGGAGGTTTGTCTTCCCTCCGCGGTCCACCCACGGATGTATTTCCCTCCCGTTCCGATTCTTTTCGTTTTTCCGAAGGACGGGAAATAATCTCCCAGGAAACCACAGACTCCACAATAAATTTTTTTGCGCGTTCGACCTCGTTTGCCTTCGACTTCGAACCTCGACCTCGTCGATCCAATCGCTACCCCGATTTTCCTTTTACCCTTTTCGCGTCCTGCGCTTTACCCGCCCGACCGAACGAAAATAAAACTTCGATCGGCCTCGTTCTTCGTCGGGTCGGATTCCGTCTTCGAAAACGACGAGCGTAGATTAAGGACTTTGAACGATTTCCCTTCTCTTCCTTCGTTCGGACGACTCCATCACGAGCGTCTGGTGACTTCGGATGCACTCGATCTCCGTATTTTTTTTTGTCACGCGAATCAGGGGATGACCTTGCAAGATCTCCTCGGGCTGATGCCGTTGAAGGAGATCGCGTGGGAGGAGGACGTGAAGGAGTTCTTCGCCGTAGCCAAGCAACGAGAGCTGGAACGGAGCAACGCCAACGATTACGTGGACGCGCTCCTCGAGAACGCTCAGGAATTCATAATCGAAAACGGATTTGACAACTTCGCTCTCCCCGATCTCATCGAGCAATTCAGGTGCGCGCTTTCCCTTCCTTCGTCTCGTTCTTACGTTGCTCCTCGTCCGAATCGTGCGTCGCCAAAGAGGCTGCTCTTTCAGATTTTCGCCTCAAATTAACGATCAAATCAAATTAACGGTCGGTCGTCTCGAGTCCGTGACTTCGTCTCTGGTCGATCGTCGTTACGCTAACCTTCCGCTTCGATCGAAGCGCTTGCGCATCCCGCGGTTTCGAAAATACCTGGAATTTTCCGTTTTCGCCTGGGCTGGGCCGACGTAGCGAGGAATTCCTGTGGATCGAATGGCACGGAGAGGCGTCCCTCACGCAAGGGTTCCTCAGGGGACTGGAGACCATACATCGAACGGGGGACGCGACCCTGGACACCAGCGGCAACACCATCACCATCGCCGCCAACATCGGCTTCAACGTCATGGAGGCCGGATACCGCATGCACGTGGACTTCATGGACATCGGTATCGACCTCGATGCCGCCGTCACCATCCAGGACGTCACCGCTTACTTTAAGGTACGAACGTCCGACTCGCTTCGCTAGAACGCGAGAGAGACTCCAGAATTCGTCTGACTCGGAAAGGTTGTGTCAGAATCGAGGGAGACGGCTTCAACGAGTCGGGTTCCCATCGGCAACGGAAACAATCGGGTGGATTTCGACGGCCCGCGTGGAGTAGATTTCCACACTCGAAAACAAGTTCAAAATATCAATAACTGTTAAGTGATCCAAAAATGCATAAGCAAGGTTTGGAAAACACCCGATAAGTTTAGAATCGCTTGGTAACCTAGTAACGTTGGTAAAGCTATGCACTATTAATTGAAGGTCGAAAAGTTGACACCCCGGGGCGTCACAAGGCCTTCCGTCCCCCCCCCCCCCCCCCCTTTTGCCCGGCTCAACGTCATCAGCGAGTATACTGCTGCAGCGTCTATCAAATATATGTAAAAAAGGAATTTTGTTGCATCACGGGATCATATCTAAGCGAATGCGCAAGTCCTTAATGGTACAGATGAAAATATTTTACCCATAGGTCTAGGGGTGAAGTTTTGAGAAGCGAAAGACTTTTGTGAAGCGAAAGACACCATCGTGACAACCTCCAGTCTCGTTTCAGTCTCCATAAGAGCGTTTCGGCTGAGTTCGACTCTAATAATTTTTTGCATCCCGGAGAATAAATACAAAAAGGCAACATTTTACTAAAATTCAATCTCCCATATGCCGGGATGAAACGAATACGAGGCCGGAGGTCGGTAAGCGCTCTCGAACGAATGCCGAGGGAAATCGTCATCGCACGAGTTTTGGGTCGGAAAGTTCTCGAAATCGAATCGGTTGCCGTAGGCGACGCTGATCATTGGGGAGACCTTGGAGATCACGATCGACGAACTGGACGTCACGAACCAAGGCATCATCAACGTGGATTTCAGCGGTCTCGGCTTCCTCGACTTCCTGCTCGAAGCCGTGAGAAGGCGACGCTGATCATCGGGGAGACCTTGGAGATCACGATCGACGAACTGGACGTCACGAACCAAGGCATCATCAACGTGGATTTCAGCGGTCTCGGCTTCCTCGACTTCCTGCTCGAAGCCGTGAGTCTCCCTCTCTTTCCCTCTCCCTCTAAATATGCGACGAGAGGAAGAAAAGAATCGGACTTGCATCTGGTACGACACAGCTGTCGTGGATCGTGGTGAATCTGTTCGGAGGACTCATCATCGACGCCATCGAGGGTCCCATCAAGGACGCCCTGGAGAACGCCCTCAGCGAAATCCTACCCTTCAAATACATCGTGTGAAACTCTGGTCCGAAAATACATCACTTCTGACCGTTCCGAGCATCGTTCGAGATTCATTTCGAGTGGGATACAAGGACGCCCTGGAGAACGCCCTCAGCGAAATCCTACCCTTCAAATACATCGTGTGAAACTCTGGTCCGAAAATACATCACTTCTGACCGTTCCGAGCATCTTCGAGATTCATTTCGAGTGGGATCGGAGTGTCTTTTCGACGACTTTCGTCGGCGAGACCTTTGGCTCCGTCGCTTTCCATCGCGATCGTTTCGTTACCCTTCGTTACCTCGATGAAAATCTTCGGAAATAGGCGTCTTCCGTATCGTGCCGAGCCGGATCGGAGAACGAGGAAACCGCACACGGATCGGAGATCCGGAGGGTCGATCCTAAGGGAGTTTCACCGAGTGGAAGCGAGGGAACCTCGAGTTCCGTTTTCTCGATCGCTCCATTCGCACTCCGTGGAAGGTCTGAGAGGTCCACAAAAAAGAATCAAATCGCCGAGACGAGAGACGCGGATGAATTCCAGAATCGTTTCGGAGACGTTGAGCAAATTCGAACTGCCTTCCGGAACGTTCCGTCCGCTCGTCGATTCGACCTCGGGCGAGAATTTGGAAGCCTAAAATTTTCAGGAACGAAGAGATCTCTAGACGTCTGGAGACCGAGATTCGTGCGTGTAGGATTCTTGCACGTTACGTCGCAGATTACGACCCGTGAAGTTAATCTCTAGCACGATTCACTCGGCTAAGAATCCTGTCTTTTTAAATTATCATTCTGGCGTATTTCTAGCTTTGGAAAAACTAGTGTAAAAAAGGAATAAAAAGGACACGAAGTGAAAGGCGTAAGTGAAACGCGCGCACGAAGGGATGTGCGCGAGAATACGGAAGGACGAACGAGATCCACTCGCCGCGGGGTCGCGAAGTCGGGGACCGTTTTCAAATCCGGACGGAAGAAACGAATACGACGACGGTGGAATCGCAGGGAGACTCGCCGAGCGGGTGTCGTTCCGAACGTCTCTCCAACCGAAGTCCTCGTCGAAGCCCTCGCGCCGTCTTCTCTCCGTTCGTTTCGACACCGATTCCGAGCAGGTCCAAGGGATGTACGTTCACGTTCGCGGAATCCTTTGGACGGCGCGACTCGTGTCTTAGATTCCGATAAAATCGGACGGGGAGTCCGTCGTGTCGCACGTATCGTTTCGCTCGGACATGCATTCTTAAAATCGGAAATCGAGTGTCACCACGCGCTCCCCCCCCCCCCCCGGATGCATCGACCCGTTCGGTACGGAGTTTTCGGCGGCCGGCCGTTCCCGTGGGACGGTCGATGACCTCTGGAAACGGGAGGAGTGCGTGCGAGTACGTGGCAGATCGATGGAGCTCGGGGCACGGGAGATCACCAGGCCCGCCCAGAGGTTTCCAGAGGCCCGGGGCAAAACCGAACCGGAGGCCACCGAATACCCCGTAGACGGATGGACCCTTTCCGAACCTCGGCATCCCGTTTCATCGGAGGTCCCCCTTAGGGCCCCTCGTCGATCGTCCTCGGTCCCCCTACTCCTCTGAGTTGGCCTGGGGATCACGACGGGCATCATCGTTCCGATTCGACTCGCCGCCTCGTCCATGGCTAATGTTAGTCACCCGTCTCCGCCCTTCGACGATCGATCGGTAAGGTGCGGAGGTCGGAAAAGAACGACTGCTTCGGTCGGTGACGTCATTCCCAGGGCTTACATCCAACGGGGCTCACTTCCTCCTACGAAAATATTAATAAAATCGTGTCTTAGTCATCGTCGGGAAACGAAAATGTGAGACACGGACAGGACGGGATCACGAGTGGGATTTTTCCATCCTGCTTCGGGGTCCCCTCGATTGCTTCGTGTTACTCCCCGTCGTCTTCACACGGCACACATCGGCACACTGTACGAGATGTAGGTAGGAAAATGTACGAAGTGTCTGGCCAACATATGTAGGTGGTTTTCCGTGAATCTCAATTAAATCGGTCGTCGAGAATCCGAGTGGCAGCTTTTTTCTACGAGATGGCAAAAGAGCAAGTGCCTGCCCGACTGCTAAGACGGACGGGGGATGAGCAAGCCCCATCTTGAGAGGAGGGCAAGTCCCATCGCGAGTGGAGCCAGCCCACCCACACCCTCGCTAAACTGACATCTTCAGGTTTAGGATAAATAAATAAATAAATAAAACTAAAAATAATAAATGTATTAATTAATAAAATTTGAAAAAGAAAAAAAAAGTACTGTCACTCGGATTCTGAGTGACCGGTTTCATTGAAGTTTTCAGAAAATCCCCTTCTCGCGTTGGATGTGACTAGGGTTGCCACCTTTGAATATAACAAAATATGGACAAATATTCGAAATTTACCCACAGCCACCTTAAGCTAAGGCGCCAATCGATACTATGAGTGTGGCCTATTGCTTTTGACTCATGGAAAATAACGATATTAGCTACTATAAAGCTTTATGGAATAAAAAAATAATCTTGAGTTTAATATAGACAAAACAGTGTCCAAGTTTAAAACCAGTTTGTAGTATGGACATTGTATCTGAAATATGTACTGTCCATACTAATTATGAACGGGTGGCAACCCTAGATGTGACGCCCTGTACATTTCCTAACCTATATGTGATGAGGTAATATGCAGATTATTCCGTATTCATAAATGACAACTCTGGCCAGTCTAGCCGGCTGTCTTCCCAATGCCCATTCACCTGTTTGTCTACGCATACGCTTGTTCTCATGGCTCAGATTTTCAGGGTACATCGACGTAAGAGTTATGGCAATGTCAACGTCTCGTTTGGGCCCATGCCTGTCGTGAAGTCGCGTGAAAAGCCTTCGCTGTGGATAGATTCGGCTAGGACTAGCTCCAATAGTTGTGGAACGTCATCATCCAGTTTCCGAACTATGAAGGTGAGGAAGAGACTGCACCCAGTTGTAGCAACTGCTCCTTCGGCTTTTCTCTGTTGGGGATTCGTGGTGTGTCCCTCGTGGAGCATCCCCACAGATTCTCTGTATTCCTCCGCCGCCTCATCATCATCCTCATCCATCTGTGATCCAACAGGTCTAAGTCCTTATCATTGTTAACCTGTAAAAACTGTATATTCTGTGATCCAGTTGGTCTCCATCCTAAGAATGCTTATGGATCGACAGCCTTATAATTGGTTGCAGGCTTGAGCCAGCCGCACACACACAGTAGCGTGGCCAGAAAATCTCAATGGGGGAGGTTGACACATGAAAAATTGGTAATCCCCCTTGTATTTGTGGCCAAATTGAAAATTTTGTGAGAATCGAACCTACAGAATGTATCCCCCAACCCCCCCCCCCCCCCTCCCTTGGACACGCCACTGCGCACACCACTCCGGTCGAATTTTTTAAAAATTATTCTATATTCCCAAATTCTTGTAATTATGTTGCCTCCAATAACGTTACCTCATCGCTCTTCAAAAGTAAACACCAAACATCATTACATACATATAAATATTTGTTATGACTTTCCATCTTACACGTAAAGCTTTTTTTTTTACCCCCTCGAGCGACAACAATTCACCCTTATTTGTAGGCCTCCAAAACTGGATGCAATATTCTAACTGGGGTCTTACACTGTTTTCGGATTGAATTGGTACCTCCCCCTAGGAGCGCTTCCATCAAGTACAGGCAGGACACCTTGTGGGTGGAAGGTGAAGTATTAATAGAACCATCCAACAACCATGTGGAGCATCAGGCTTGGCAGAGGATCGTCTGGAAAGCTTGTGTTTTCTCCATTCTCCACAGTACCAATTCAATCCGAAAACCAGAGACATGGTAAATACACCTAGACTGGACAAGCCAATGGAGAAAGCCAGCCAGCCGCACGCCGATTAGAAGGGTCAGCCGCCATCGCTCATGGCGTCAAATCGATCAATAAACGCATAGCTTTCCAATTAATGACGTCACACTACACTGAGTTTTGACGCTTTCCAAGAAGACCGCGTAGGCCTACCTGGTCTTCAGTGACGATGCATGGTATTTTGAAATTTGATTAATGCCACCCATTCCGTCTTTATTTTCATTGCACTCAATAATAAGAAGGCGTATTATCAGTTCCCCATGCAGTTAGGCTCAGGGTCTACATGAGACTGTTCAGCAGGCTATGAAAATTCCGCCGCACCTAAGGTTAGACCCTGCAAAAGGGTCAATAGTTATCAAGCCAGATTCATCATTGTAAGACCTGATACCCAACCCAGTCAGTGGTCTTTCATAGTATACGAATCCTAAACACATTGACTACTGTGCGCCTCAGTGAATCCCTGCCTCATCCTCTCCTTGACGCCATCAGTAATGGCCGCCAGCCCTTCAAATCGGCGTGAAATCTTCGACTGCCATGTCCAGTCTAGGTATATTTACCATGTCTCTGCCGAAAACAGTGTACCAGCGCCGCACATGTGGGGATATGGGGATTAGAGACGGACCAGGGTTGTCTGAGCAAGAATAAATAAGGAATTCCGCATTCCATATTTAAAGCCTCGTTTCATTGGAATATATAAGACAAGTGATTGAAATATATGAAAAATGAGAGGCCTGCTGCAGCGATCTCAAAATTGCCTTAGCAGGATTCGCGGAAGATTTCCTCGATGTGGAAATCGTTATCGTTCCTCGCAACACAGGCGGTTTGAGAATTGATTGGCGCTTTCACTGCGATGTGGCACTGCAATTTTTTGTATTTTCATCAATCGCTGCCAGTGGCTGCCAGTCAGCCATGAGTGACTGCATAATGGATCAGGAGACTGACCTAAATCATGGATCCTGCAACCCTGACTCTCCATGACCCCTTCCGCGCCAGGACACCTTATCGGGTTTCAACCCCCTGCGAGTGGCTTGTCGTGGCCTTTTGTTTTATCCACCGGGTTATTTTGTTTTATCTACCGATTTCATCTATCCTCCTTTGTAGAAATAACAGCTACGCACGCAACAGTGAATGTACTGTATGGCTGCTTTCTGCCGCTTCCTTTGTCCGTCGTCAGGAGGGCCAGATCCGTGGAGGAACTTCTGCGCCGTTCCATTTCTCGGAGA